TTCCACCCTATAGGCTGCCTCATTGTTGTCGGTGATCAGGCCTACCACCGTTCAGTCATCTGCAAAATGAATGATGGTGTTGGAGTCGTGCTTGGCCACGCAGTCGTGGGTGAACATGGAGTACAGGAGGGGACTAAGCATGCACCCCTGAGGGGCCCCTGTGTTGAGGATCAGCATGGCAGATGTATTGTTGCCTATCCTTACCACCTGGGGGCAGACCGTCAGGAAGTACAAGATTCAGTTGCAGAGGGAGGTGTTAAGTCCCAGGGTCCTTAGCTTACTGATGAGCTTTGAGGGCACTATGGTGTTGAACACTGAGCTGTAGTCAATGAACACGTATTGTAGGTGTTCCTTTTGTCCAGGTGGGAAAGGGCAGTGTGGAGTGCAATACAGATTGCGTCATCTGTGGATCTGTGGGGGTGGTATACGAATTGGAGTGGGTCTAGGGTTTCTGGGATGATGGTGTTGATGTGAGCCATGACCAGCCTTTCAAAGCACTTCATGGCTACAGACGTGAAGTCCTGAAGAGCAGGAGTGTGTGAAGGGTTTTGTCCCAGCCCAGCTCTAACACCTGACTTAAATAATGAACATAACGAATCACGGCGATAGGCTATGATTTGTAGTCAAGTATGAGCTGGGCTGGAACAAAAGCTTATACACACTCCTGCCATTCAGATCTGGAGCTGTCCACCCTTTTAAGTCATTATTCTGTACTATATGTACAATTGGGAGGGGGGATTCATTTAGATGGTATTGATATACACTGAGTATACAACACATTAAGAACACCTTTCCATGACAGACTCACCAGGTGAATCCAGGTGAAAGCCATGATCCCTTATTGATGTCACTTGTTAAATCCACTTCAATCAGTGTAGATGAAGGGGAGGAGACAGGTTAAAGAAGGATTTTTAAGCCTTGAGACAATTGAGACATGGATTGTGTATGTGTGCCATTCAGAGGGTGAATGGGCAAGACAAAATATTTAAGTGTCTTTGAACGAGGTATGGTAGTAGGTGCCAGGCGCACCAGTTTGTGTCAAGAACTGCAATGCTGATGGATTTTTCACACTCAAAAGTTTCCCTTGTGTATCAAGAATGGTCCACCACCCAAAGGACATCCAGCCAACTTGACAACTGTGGGACGCATTGGAGTTAACATGGCCAGCATCACAGGAGGTTGGTGGCACCTTAATTGGGGAGAATGGGCTCGTGATAATGACTGGAGCGGAATTAGTGGAATGGTATCAAATACATCAAACACATGGTCTCCAGGTGTTTGATGCCATTCCATTTGCGCCGTTCCAGCTATTATCATGAGCCGTTTCCCCTCAGCAGCCTCCTGTGGCCAGCATCCCTGTTGAACGCATTCAACACCTTGTACAGTCCATGCCCCAACAAATTGAGGCTGTTCTGAAGGAAAGGGGGGGGTGTTCCTAATGTTTCGTATACTCAGTGTATAACGCATGCTCCACTCTGAAGTTTAATTTGTTGACTGATGCCAAGGTGGCGGCTGCTAAGAAGGGAGCAACTGCGAACCAGAAGTCTGCAGCCAAGGAAGCACTGTTCCACACCTGCCCTGTCTGTCGTATTGGTTGGTACTGTGTATGCCTTTAGGTTCCTCTCCATGTGTAGGCTATTGTACTGGCCTGTGTGGTACAGTCTTTCATATGGGTTGTAGTTTGTTGCATTGTATTCACTTGTGGCTGCTTCACGTGATGTATTGTTGTCTCTACCTTCTTGCCCTTTGTGCTGTTGTCTTTGCCCAATAATGTTTGTACCATGTTTTGTGCTGCTACCATGTTGTTTTGCTGCCATGTTGTGTTGCTACCGTGTTGTCATGTGTCGCTACCATGCTACGTTGACATGTGTTGTTGCCATGATGTGGTGTTGTCTTGGGTCTCTCTTTATGTAGTGTTGTGGTGTCTCTCTTGTCGTGATGTGTTTTTTTGTCCTATATTTTTATTTTAATTTTTAATCCTAGCCCCCGTCCCCACAGGAGGCCTTTTGCCTTTTGGTAGGCCGTCATTGTAAATAAGAATTTGTTCTTAACTGACTTGCCTAGTAAAAATTAAAATAAAATAAATGATTGAGCTTTGTGTGTCCCAGTTTGAGCCTTGTGATTACACTTTCCTCCCTTCTCTCTCGACCTGAGGACCTCCCTGCCCCCACCCTTTCCTGGATCTTATACAGGTGTCTTCCCTTTCCCTCCCGGTTCCACAACTCTTGCCATTTGTTTTAACCACTGTTCATATTAACCCATTGGCTTCATTTCCATGTCAACATTAGGATGTTTGAGAGCCTGCTTGGCGAGAGGCTTTACAAAGCCATTTTGGGTTTACTACCATTTTATCTGGCCATTTTTATTCTTCAGAAATATGGTGGGTACTCCCTTCGTTCGCAGGAATTTATCCTGCTAACTGTTCCAAATGTCCAAACTGAATTTGGTAAAAGGGCTTTTATGTACTCTGCGCCATCGGCTTGGAACGCCTTACAAAATACATTTAAACTGGAAGAACTTGTCCCGATTGGTGTCTTTAAATCATTGGTGAAGGATTTTGAGGCTGATTCCTTGACCTGTCAATGTTTTTAAATAGCTGTTTTATGATTTTGTTCTGCTCCTGCGATTTCTATGGATGTTTCTAGATTACTTGTAGTTTTTCATGTTGTCTGTCTGTAATTGTGTAATGACTTGGTGCTGCCTATCTTGGCCAGGACGCCCTTGAAAAATTGATTTCAAATCTCAATGAGCCCTTCCTGGTTAAATAAAGGTTAAATAAATACATTTAAAAAATAATTAAAAATACTCCTTCCTCACGAGCTCTTACCCTCTCAAGCAACCCTAGGTCTATCATTGGCTGACAGAGCAACCAAGGTGGGGTAGCAGGAAGAACCACAGAGGGGATGAACTCCTTCCCAAACAGTCCCATCTCTCGCCATGCCATTACCTATAAACCCAAAACATGTATCCAGATCTCGTTCATGCTCCCAGCACTCTAGCAGTACATTTTTTTGTAGGATGTTTAACCTTATGTCCTTGAAGATTTACCTAATATATCATGGTTAGTTGTCTTGTCAACTTTAACGGCATCTCTCCCAAATCGACCTGCAGCGCTGCCACTGAAGAGGTCCTGACTGCTCCAAAACATATTCTTAGAGCTTGAGCCTTGCTATATCTAGCAAAATATTTTTTATGTCGGAGCTTCTGATCCATATGCTACACTATCATAGTCCAGTGATGACCTTGATAGCGCTATATATAACATTTTCAACACCTTTCTATCCGCCCCCACTCCATTCCTGACAGGCAACACATAATATTCAATATTTTCTTTACTTTCATAACTACTCTGTTAATATGTTCCGCCCATGTCATCCGAGCGTCAAACCAGACCCCCAGGAACCTAAACACTTCCATTTGGCACAGCGTCGTCCGGGTTAGTGGAGGGTTTGGCCGGCCGGGATTTCCTTGTCCCTAGTGACTCCTTGTGGCGTGCCGGGCGCCTGCAAGCTGACTTCGGTCGGCTGGCTTCCGGGTTAAGTGTGTCAAGAAGCAGTACGGCTTGGCAGGGTCGTGTTTCAGAGGACGCATGGCTCTCGACCTTCGCCTCTTCTGAGTCCGTAGGGGAGTTGCAGCGATGGGACAAGAATGTAACTACCAATTGGATATCACAAAAAAGGGGTAAAAGTACAAAATAAAAAACTGTCTTGAAGCCCCACCTGAGGGACCACTGCTCAACTTCTCTGATTGCTTCTTAAACTCTCCCAGCTGTATGAGGAATATTTCTCTCTCTCTTCCACAGCACCCTGTCATCCGCAAACAATGACCTCCCAATATCTGATCTCATCTGAGAGAATACGTCATCAATCATAATGGAGAACAACAGAGGACTAATCACACTTCACTGGGGGGTGACGGTTTTGTCTAGATGGGATAAAAAATATACTATTCGCAGCAGGTTAAGATAACTTTATGCAGCAGGTTAGTATAATTAACATAGCAGGTTAGGAGAATTAGGGTAAAGTTAGGAAAAGAGTTAGGGTTAGCTTAAATGCTAAACAAATCTACTTTTGAAGCTGTATCCCTTCTACACATGACCCGCATGGACACTTCAATAAATGCATCCTCTCTTCCTTTCGTCTGTCCACCCTTCCTTCCTTTGCCCCCTTTCCTGTGCTCAATTCTGATGGTTTCTTTTTACCCATCCAATTTTTATAGATTTGCAACACTGTCAGGATATTCAGCAGTCTATAGTTCACTGCTTGACAAAACTAATCACAGAAAGAGTCAGATAGTCTTACAATATAGTTTTTTTTAAATTCTGAAACCCAAAGAAAATACAGGTATAAGCCTTTTAATAATCTTTACATGTAGGCTATAAGCCTTTTTAAAAGGTCACTTATACAGTTATTTGACACAATAGTCTACACATTGTTAAAGGGATAGTTCACCCAAATTACAAAATTACACATTGGTTTCCTTACCCTGTAAGCAGTCTATGGACAAGGTATGACAGCAATCCATGCTTGGTTTTAGTTTCCCTGGCACTGTTTTCACATGCTAACGTTTTAGCATTTGTGGCACAAATCCCATTCAAGTCATGGGACCGATATTAGCATTTTTCGCACATCATGTCCAAATAATTTGAAAATATCAAAAATTGATTGTGAAACTCAACAAAGTAATTTATAGATGTTTAGAACATGATGTGCGAAAAATGCCAACCAATGTGTCATTTTGTAATTTGGGTGAACTATCCCTTTAATGGAACTTGCAATTTTACATTGATTTTAAGTTAATGTTGGGATTCTTTAGAAAGAGTAAAAACCATATTAATTGTGCAAAAAAGTAGGAAAAGCTATAGAAAATAATATTTAGTATTGATGAAAGATTATAGCAGGCCAACTGCAAAACCAATTGTAGAAGTAGCATTTGTTCACTCGGGACTAGCTGCCATGCTACCCTGAAATAAAAGCACTCCTGCAAGCAGATGTAAGACATCACACAGTGGAGATGCTCGCCATGGACAGCAGATTCTTGCTGGCATTGTCCTTGGTTTCAGCCTGCTGGATGAGTTGGCCTCCACTCTCCTCCTTTGACAGCGGGCAACCATGTATATCTGGAGAAGTGATGGAAATTCTTGTAGCAGGGCAGTTCACTGAAGGCTGTTTTTTAACACATCAGTACTTGAACTTGAACTTTACATCTGAATACTGTAATTCATTTGAGAATAAATTGTATCCTATGCTATGTGTTCCAAAGTATTCCAAATAGACCGGCACACAGTATCAATGACTTAACCAACTCTGTGGTACTCACTAGCTTTAGACTTGTGCCTGATTTTCCTGATGCAGGCAAGAGTGTTGAACACCAGGAAGGTGATAGCAAAGAAGAAGAAGCCAATGTTCCAAATGGAAGCCCCGTCCTCTTTGTTTCCTAGCGCTGATAAACAGTAAAAATGATTAGAACCCAAATACATTTCTAATACCTATGGATTGTTTGACTGTAATCGCCAACATACCATGTATACCACATTTTGAGTTATGGGTCTTGTTCCCAGCGAAGATCACAACAAGTCCATGTGTACCACACCTGTTGGTGACAAGGTATTACAAGTTATTTAGGATCCTCTAAAAACATTTCATACGATAGATGAAGTGATATTTGGATATTTTTCAAAACAGTGTTCTTACTGTGTCAATGGTTTGCAGTGACCCTGTTCAGTGTCAGAGTATGTGTTATTAGGACATGGGACACATTTCCAAGTGTATTCCCTGGAACCTGCCATTGGAAAACAGACTTCAGGTTAGCAGTGGTATGGACATGCCTGTTGATCATTTCGCTGCATTTGTAAATAGTCAGTGACAAGTAATGAGGAAGGAAAATATATGACCGTCTTACCTGTCCTCTTCATTTCCTCTCCCTTGTGGCATTTCTTTTCTTTTTCACATTTTGAACAGACATAGTCTGAGCACAGGAAACCAGAGTCACACGAACAGTTTGCATTAGCGGTTAAGTTGCATGCTCTTGTATAGACTGCCCAGAAAAGCAAAGAGAGAAAGGAAACAAATAGATGAGAGTTCAATAAATCAGTAGAGGGATTTCCAAACTATGACATGAACAGTGTGAGCCCCAGAAGCCACCACTTTCCTGTCATTCTTTCTTTCCTATAGGATCATTACTTGTTTTGACCATTTAGGGTCCATCAACAATCTAAATGTTTTTCAGAGCTAGAACAATATAATGTTTTGTTTATGTCACCTCTCATCTTAACCCTTACCATGTTGGCATTTGAGGCATGGTTGACAGTTCTCTAGGCGGTCACTGAACTCAGAGTAGGAGCCCGCTGGGCAGTCACCACAGTCGGTTTCAGCCTGAGCGGTGCAGTGCTTCTTCAAAAATGTGCCTATGAACCAAGACAGGATTGGATATCATAATCACTACCATTTACAGAAACACTCATTCAATATTACTTTAGATATCATCTTATACATCAAGTAATCGTCACGCAGGGTCCAACTAACATTTACATACATACTTTTTCATAATAATAATAATTTTAAAAAGGATTTAAATTGGTATAATTATTTTATATCATATGTTCAGTTGTTTAATCCCATGGTCACTAGTCTACTGAGTTGTTGTTAGAGGCTAAAAACAAACCTGGTGGACAAAGTCCACAACATCTGCCATCTTTCTCATACATATCATTGCATCGAAGATCCATTGCTAAACCCATAGTCCAAAAACACAGAAGACATATGACTCTCATCTGGATGTATTGAGTGTCCATAATGTTAAGTATCCTCTCCTTTCTCCCACAAGGGTTTTATGTACTGTGCACAGTGACATTACACAGTGACGTCAAGTATCTCTCTCGCTCTCTCTCGCTCTCTCTCTCTCTCTGTTTCTGGCTCTGTGTGTGTGTGTGTGGGTACAGTGAAAAGCAGAATGTGCTAAACCACGCATGACTAGGGCTGTGGCGGTCATGACATTTTGTCAGCCGGTGATTGTAAAGCAAATAACTGCCAGTCTCACGGTAATTGACCGTTAATTAACATGAGCACATTTAGCATCTCCTGGCTTCCACGCATAGCCTACAAGCCACTGATGCAGACCTTTGGAACATCTACATTTGAAAAAGTTGAATAAATCCATTTAATATAGGCTACACCGTCACAATAAATTCATTATTTATGTTAGACAGGTCTAAAGAAACATGATATGAAGAAAATGTAGTCTAATTCAGAAGAACAGAATAGCATACTCTGAGTTGTCCTTATGTTTAACACAACAAAGGATATGACCCAGATGCAGACACAGGAGACGGAGGTTCAATATACAGAGTAGTTTATTGAAACCACAGGAGGCAGGCAAAGGGCAGGTCGAGGACAGGCAGAGGTTTGTAACCAGGTCCGAGTCTGATAGGTACAGGGTGGCAGGCAGGCTCAGGATCAGGACAGGCAGAAGTTTGTAAACCAGGTCAGAGTCAGATAGGTACAGGACGGCAGGCAGGCTCGGGGTCAGGGCAGGCAGAATGGGTCAGAACTGGGAGAACTAGAAAACAGGGACTAGAGAGAAACGGAGTACGGGAAAAAACACGCTGGTAGGCTTGACGAGACAAGACGAACTGGCAACAGATAGAACAGAAAATACAGGTATAAATACACAGGGGATAATGGGGGAAATGAGTGACACCTGGAGGGGGGTGGAGACAAGCACAAAACAGGTGAAAGATCAGGGTGTGTGTGATGGGTGATTTGAAGTAGTCAGGCGCACGAGGGTAAATCACAGAATAACAGGATTTATTCTGGAATACAGAGTTACGCTTTAACCTCCTTTACCGTGGTAGGAGTCGGCCAATTACGCACGGCTGAAATGCGATCTCCCTCCATCTCCACACCTGAGGTGGTAATGCGGTATCCGAGGAAGGAGATGGACTGTTGGAAAAATAGACACTTTTCTGTGTGACGGGCCAGCACTTTGCGAACCAGGGACACATGCTTGGCGCGCGTAGCAGAATACACCAGAATGTCATCGATGTAGACCACTACACCGCGACCAAGCATGTCCCGAAACACCTCGTTCACAAAGGACTGGAAGACGGATGGAGCATTCATCAAACCGTAAGGCATCACCAGGTATTCGTAATGCCCCGTTGTTGTGCTGAATGCTGTCTTCCACTCGTCCCCCTCTCGGACACACACCAGGTTGTACGCACTCCGGAGATCTAATTTTGTGAAGAAGTGCGCCCCATGCATTGACTCGATCACAGATGGAATGAGGGGTAGAGGAGAACTAAATCGTATCGTCCCCTTGTTCAGTGATCGGTAATCATTGCAAGGGCGCAGATCTCCGTCTTTCTTCTTCACAAAAAAGAAACTTGAGGAGGCGGGCGAAGTGGAGGGACGTATAAACCCCTGGTGCAGGGATTCAGAGATGTATGTCTCCATAGCCTCTGTTTCAACCTGTGACAGGGGATACACATGACTCCTGGGAGGCACAGTGTCTACCCGGAGGTTTATTGCGCAATCCCCCTGCCCGATGAGGTGGTAATTTGGTTGCCTGCGTTTTGGAAACACGTGCGCCAAATCTAGGTATTCAGGGGGAATGCGCACGGTGGAGGTACTGTCTGGACTTTCTACCGTGGTTGCACCAACGGAAACACCTAGACACCTACCCTGACTCTCGCGACCACCCCGTGAGAACCCTCTGTGGCCATGAAAAGGTGGGGTTGTGGAGTGCTAACCAGGGAAGACCTAATACAACAGGGAAATCAGGAGACTCAATAATAATAAAAAAGTGTCTTGTGTGTAACCATAGTGACTGGTGCTGTAACCTCCCAAATGAACCCGGACCCTAATGGTCGACTGTCAAGTGCTCTGATGGGGAGTGGAATGGATAGGGGAACCAATGTAATGCCTAGATAATGTGAAAATGACCTGGCCATAAAGGTCCCAGCTGCGCCTGAATCGACCAGCGCCTTACACTGGGGAACTACAATGTAATCAGGAAAGTGGATGGGTAGGGTACAGTGCGCAGCAGAGGGCTCTGAACGAGTGTGGGTGTTCGATACCTGGGGTGACGTGAGAGTGCCCTGCCTGCCGCCTCCAGACCCAAAAGAACGCTGACGACATTGTGCAGTGAAATGTCCTCTCGTGCCATCAGAGTGACACTGGCGCTGTTGTCCTCCGCTCTCCCGGATCGCCGCTCCACCCAGCTCCATCAGCTCGTGATCCAGGTTGGGGGGGGGGGGGGGGGGCGTCCTCTGGCCGCCAGCCAGCAGGTTGTCCAACCGGATGGCCATGTCCACCAGTTGAGTGAAGGACAACATGGTGTCCAGGCAGGCTAGCTCCCTTCGGACGTCCTTCCATAGATAACACCGGAAGTGGTCGATGAGGGCCCACTCCTTCCACCCGGACCCAGCTGCTAGAGTCTGGAACTCCAGGTTGAAGTCCTGCGTGGTCCTCGTCCCCTGCCTCAGGTGGACCAGCCGCTCGCCCGCCTCTCTACCCTCGGGCGGGTGATCGAAGACAGCCCAAAAGAGGCAAGCAAACTATCCTTAGTTGTCCAACGTGGCTCCTCCTTCATTCCAGACCGCCTTGGCCCACTACAGGGCTTTCCCCGAGAGGCAGGAGACGAGGGCGGACACCTTCTCCCGCTCCGATGGGGCCGGGCTGATGCTTGAATAGAATAGCTCCAGTTGGAGGAGGAATCCCTGGCAGAGAGCAGCTGTCCCGTCGAAATCCCGTGGTCGGGATATATGGATCCCTCTGGGTGCTGGGGTGTGGGTGGCTGGATCCGGTCGCCCAGCTGGTCCCGAGTTCCCAAGCTGGCTAGCATCGTCGAATGCTCCCAGACCCGTGCCACGACTCCAGGCATGTGCTCCTCTCTTGCTGACTCCATTTTTGGTCTGTGATGGGTGATTTGAAGGAGTCAGGCGCAGGAGGGTAAATCCCAGAATAACAGGATTTATTCCGGAATACAGAGTTACGCAGTAATGAGTCAAAACAGTCCAGTGCGCAAAACAGGCGCACTGGAACCAACAAGGCACACGGGGAAAATAACCCGGAAATACAAAATACAAGGAGCTCAACCGAGCTTCACTCTCCTCACAATAAACAATCACACACAAAGACAAGGGGGCGGAGGGAACACTTATACAGGTACTGATGAGGGGATATGAACCAGGTTGGTGTAATAAACAAGACAAAACAAATGGAATGATGAGATGAGGAGCAGCAGTGGCTAGAAGGCCGGTGACGACGAATACCGAAGCCTGCCCGAACCAGGAGAGGAGGCAGCTTTGGAGGAAGTCGTGACAGTGTGACAATGTTAGGCCCTGATCTGGCTATGCCATATGGTTGTGGGCTACACTAGTTCATTTAGCAGACAAGATTTGCTTAGAATTCCGTGGCATTATTTTATAGTATTTTATAGTATGAAGAATACAATTGAATATAGCTGAATAAAATAGAAAGGATATTTTCTCCAAATGATTTTTGAAGGAGTTTGCACATGCGGCTATTCTGTGTTGAGCGGTTAACAAAGAAACAGGTCCTCCTATATGCTTAATTTAGAGCTATTTATGCTAATTTAGTTGTGATACAAACATTGGGCTATATGTTTGATTTTTATAACTTTCTAAGGCTGCATGATGCGGCTATAATGATGATTTGAAAAAAAGTTGCATGAAAGGCATGAGCTCTGCTTTGTTTCTTGTGCAGGCTGTACACACTTCATCAGTCTCTCATTCACAATTTGACAAGCACTTGATAATATTCTCACCAGGCCTCGAATTTCCCGGCGGCATCCCCCTTGTGTGGCCGTAGTGCCCCCTAAAAAGATCCATGCCTTTTGCAGCTAAAGTGGTCATTGTGTCCTTGGGCTAAATATAATCATTATAATTCCCTTCTCCCTGCTGCCAATCGCCGTGCTCCGAAGCATGTCTCACTCACATGGCTCTCTCAGATATCTCAATTATTATTAGCCAATGCCCATCACGTGATCAGGTCCTTCTCACAGGCATCTCAGCTCCAAAGTAGGCTCCAAGTGACTACAGACACATCAGGGACGCAACTGTGAGTGTCCTTCTTATCAAATTCCGAGGAGAATATTGAAGAAGAACTGTCTACATTTAATTTTTGTCACTAGCCTATGTCAATCTACTATCCAGCATAGTACAAAAGTTGACCTATTCTATTGGTCAACTTGTCCTTCTGTGCAATAAATAAATATTCCAAACATACTCTGGCAGGGGCATAACCTGGTGGGGGGTCTGGGTTCCTCCCCCAGAATTTTTTGGGGCATCTAAAGATCATTTCCTGCATTTTTACACAATTCAATATGCCGTCTCTATTTAGAACAAAAAGTAAGCAAAAATGACCACAGTCATCAAGCTAGGCAAGATATCATAATTAAATATGTTTAAGTTATTAATAAGACTGAACTAGATAAAAGGTAATTTAATAATAAATATTGTGTTGCACCTTTGACCAATAGCCTAACAAACGAAGAACTCTTGAAAAAAATACATAGACTATTGATTGTCTTTATTAAGACATCATCTACATCAAATTTCAGCCAGACCGACCAGCCAGCCCGAGCCGCCTGCACCCCCGACCCCCACCAGTCTGGTCAATAACTAAACTCTCTCCCAACACAATTTCCTTCCCAGTTCCACCTTACATTTTTTTAATTCCCAAGGACAGGTATGAGAACCAAAAAACCCCACAAAAAAACACACATACACCTCAAATATACATTAACCCACAAACATAAAATCCTCCATAT